ACTATTCACTTCTCACTACTCGCTGCTCACTACTCACGACTCACAACTCACTACCCACTAATCACTACCCACTACCCACTACCCACTACTCACTCCTCACTACTCACTACTCCCAACCCACTACTCAATATTCGCAATTCACTACCCAATACTCAATACTCACTACTCACTAACCACTACTCACTACCCACTACCCACTACTCGTTAATCACTACTCACCACCCACTAACCACTATCCACTACTCACTACTGAATACTCAAATATCAGTACTCACTACTCACTGCCCACAACTCACTACTCACTATCCGCTACTCCCTATTCCTTACACAATACTCACTGCGCACTACTCACTACTTCACGAGTCGCTACTCCCTACTCGCTACTCGCTACCCGATAAACAATATTCAACACCCACTACGCACTATTCACTACTCAATACTCACTACTGACTACTCCCTCCTCATTAATCGCTAGTCACACGTCACTACTAACTACTCACTACTCAGTACGCACTACTCACTTTCAACTGACTATTCACTACTCACTACTCACTACTCGCTACTCCCTACGGACTACCCACTACTCACTACCCACTCCCCACTACCCACTACTCAATAAACACGACTCCCTACTCCCTACTCCCTACTCACTACTCACTACTCGCTACTCAGTACTCGCCACTCCCTACTCGCTACTCACTACTCCCTACACATTACTCACTACTGACCACTCCCTTCTCACTACTGACTACTCACAGTGCCCTACTCAGTAATCACTATTCACTACTCGCTACTCCCTGCTCGCTACTCACTACTCACTACCCACTCCCCACTACCCACAGCTGACTACGCACTACTCACTACTCACTACTCGCTACTCCCTACTCGCTGATCACTACGCCCTACTCACTGCCCACTACTGACTACCCCCTCCTCATCACTCACTACTCACAACGCCCTACTCGCTAATCACTGTTCACTACTCGCTACTCCGTACTCGCTACTCACTTCTCCCCTCCCACTCCCCACTACCCACTATTCACTACTCACTACTCACTACTCACTACTTCACTACTCGCTACTCCCTACTCGCTGATCACTACGCCCTACTCACTACTCACTACTGCCTACTTCCTCCTCATCACTCAGTACTCACAACGCCCTACTCGCTAATCGCTGTTCACTACTCCCTACCCCCTACCCGCTACTCGCTACTCACTACCCTCTCCCCACTACCCACTGCTTACTCACTGCGCACTACTCCCTACTCACTACCTACTACTCACTACTCACTCCTCACTACTCGCTGCTATCTACTCACTACTTACGATTCACTACTCATTGCTCACTACTCACTAGTCTCTACTCACTACTCACTACTCACTATCCCGAGGCCAGACCCCCCCCCCCTTGCGGGAGAGGCCCCCCAGCGCCAAGGGGGGGGACGGGGGGGAGGGGAGGGTTCGGACCCCCCCCCCCCCCCCCCCCCCCCCCCCCTCTTAAGGGGGGGGGGGGGGGAAGGGAAGGGGGGGAGGGGGGGGGGGGGGGTGCGAGCACCGCACCCCTTTTCAGTCACAGGGTCATCCACTGGCACGCTTTCTCACTCTAGTGGGGCGCGGATGCTTCCGAGGCAGCAGTGTGGTACTCGTGGCCTGGGGAGGCCTCGCCCACGGCCTGGGCATGGTGGCAAGATGAGCAACGGCCCACTAATGTACCACATGGCGTGCGAAGGCATTTACCGTAAGAAGCATGCTCCTATGTTTAGATCGGGCGCGCCCCCCATACAAGCGGATTGCGGACGACAGATCAAAAACAGTCAGAACAAATATACCCCAAAATTATCAAATGTACTCGGGAAATAGTTCCCCGACTATTTTTGGACTATTTAAGAAGATTCCTCCTGTAGAGGGACAGGCCGGACTTAATCTTCCGCTGCCCTCCAACCGCCAAGCGCAAACAGACGGTGGCGGGGGGGGGGGGGGGGGGCATGGCCGCAAAGACTGACGGGGCGGGCCGAGCGAGGCAGAGGGGGGGGGATGAACACAGGACGGGCAAAGGGCAGCGCAAGAGCCACGGACCCGGGGAAAGCGGAGGGCGGGCGCAAACGCAGCCGTGGATGTCCAGCCGGCCCGCGCACCTGGACGCAGCTCCCACAGCGTCCTGAAATCTCAAGTCATCACATAAACCTCCATGCGCGCGTCTCCTGGGTGGAGACGGGCAGCGCGGTTATGTAATGAAGCCCTCGCGCGCCCCACTCTCTAGACATCGGTGTCGATCATGCATCCAATGCGCTAGTGGGAAAAAGTCACCTATGTTTGCCTCTCATCTGTTTCGTTCATGTTGCAGTGTGCGGCACCCCTGGGGCCCGAATCCGCCCCAGGTGGGCCTCCGAAGCGGAGGCGACTGAGGCGCCGCACGGTCCTCGCTCCGCAATCCAACGAGACCCTGGCGAGGGCCCAATCAGGGGTAGTCCTTCTGTTCGAAGCGTCGACGATCAACGCAGTGCAATGCGCAGCGAAAAGCAACGCGGCGCGGCGCCTAGCACCGCAATTCATAGCAGGGCGACGTTGTGCGACATTGAGTGGCGTTGCATTGAATGTGGTAGCCGTACCCACTGATGCGTAGCATCTGATGGCGCACCGATTATTTGAGTATGTGACATCGCGTTGCCTAGGCTAGCACAGCATAGGTTAGCGTCGCACGGCATAGCATAGCACAACAAGACAATGCATAACCGAGCATGGTATCGAATACCATCACACGTTGCAGTTGCAGAACCTGACATAGCCTGCAACAACACATGATGGCATTGCGCGCAACGCATCGCGTAGCATTGCCGTAGTAAGCTGGCCTGAAACACGATCGCACAGCCGAGCGTTGCTTAGCCAAGCAACACGTCGCGCGGCATACGGATGTTATATCTGAGCCTTCGCCCAGCACTAGCAACTCATGGCATAGCCCAGCATGACGTGGCTCAACACAGCCGTAGATGCATGCCACCTGTTCGCATCAGTCGCAACATATACCATCGCACGGCAATCGAACAACCTAGCACACCACATCATTACAGGTCAAGAGGGAGCAGAATGTGCGCATGATGGCATTCCATAGCCTGGCATACCATGGCCTACGGCAAGTTCGCGTCGCGTCGACCCTGGCGTTGGCTAGTGACACCGCGGGGATCGTTGAAACTTGAACGATCGGCCCTTTCAAAAAGCCAGCTCGTTCAAGGATGGGCCGATTCTGGGCCACAGGCGGCGCTCAGCCTTCCACGCCCGCGCTGGGGCCGCCGCCGGCCGACGCGACGCGAACCCGCCGTAACAGAACTCGGTCCAGAACGTCCGACGAGGTGCTGGTAGATCAGGTGCGACCAAAGGGCGCCTCCCTCAACCATGCAAACGGACCCCCAGGCAGGCCTGCCCGAGGAGCCGCAGCAAGACTTCAGCGCAACGGTTCGGCGCGGCCACGGCCCAGCCCCAGAGCACGGCCAGGGCGGCCTCGCGAAACCAACAGGTGCAGCGCCGCGAGACGCCTCTGGAAGCTGCAGCGTGCACGGCCACAGACCGGCGAAGGGGCACAGGGAGGGGGACATCTCCTCCTATCCTAACCCCCCCTCCGCTTCCTCCTCCTCCTCCTCCTCCTCCTTTTCCTCCTCCTCCTCCTCCTCCTCCTCCTCCTCCTCCTCCTCCTCCTCCTCCTCCTCCTCCTCCTCCTATCCTCCCCCTCCTCCTCCGCCGCCTCGGAAGAACTCCAAGCCAGTTGCCCAGAGATCCAAGCCGCATGTTCCAACTCAGTCCAAGCCCAAATATCCCCACTATCGTCAGGACATTGCGTGCGGAGTGAACCAGCGGCGCCACTGGGAATCACCCAGAGCTCGGCCTCGATCTGCCCAGCGATTGCCCCGACCTTGAGCGTCGGCCACGATGGCCGCCTGCGACCACCGTGCTACCCAGGGTGACAGCACGAAGCTGGGTCTCAAAACTCTCCCGGGGCCGCTCAATTTGCGATCGCACTTGCATCCATCGCCAAGGCCCCCTTACGGCTCAAGCTGGCGGCGCGGAGGGGGGGGTGGCACGACGAGGCGGCCGAGGAGACGAGGGTATTCTTGGAAGGTGGCGGCCCTCCTACGAGCACTGCGCCTTCCTTGTGCCCGCGCAATCATCGTGAAGAGAACATAAAAAGAAGGAGAAGGGGGCAGACCGCGAATCACCACATGAATACGCACGTCCTCCGACTGGGTGCCTGGAGGATCCCACAGAAACGCCGACGGCAGAACTGCCATGGTCGTTTCGCATGGGAGTCTTGTGGAGCATGCCGGACACTGGAGATAGACGCCTCTCGATTGCTCAATTCTGCCGTTCATGCGCCCCTCGCGTTCTATGAAAAAGGGGGGGCTACTTCGATGACCAGCCCCAGCGCGGGCTCTCCCCCCGGTTGAGCGTCGCTGCTCAGGGCAAGAGCGCGGGCCGCCCCCCTGGCACTTTTTTCCGCGCAGCGCGCGCCGGCACAGCAGCTCGTGCCAGCGAGGTAAACGGAGAAGAACATGCGCGGCCTGACCGAGTGACCGCAGCGACGCTCTGAGACAAAACCCCCGCACTACTGCGTGAGTGCCGCGAAGCATCCGTAGTCTCCAGCAACTTCGCAAGAAGCCCGCCAATCAGAGTTGCTGTCATCAAAGGGCGACGACGCGGACGGCGCGAAGAAGGGCGATGAGGGTTACGAGGACGAGGAAGACGGGGAAGACAAGGATGAGGGCGAGGGGCGCGTCAGGGGCAATGAGAACAGGGAGGACCAGAACAAGGAAAGACGAGAAGGGGCGGAGGAAGAGAAGGAGGGCGAGATAAAGAGGGAGGTCGAGGGAGGAAACTAAGGGATACTTCGGTACTTGACGTGACCGAACCACTGCACTTGTTCTGGCGTGGCGTGGACAGTGGTCGCCGTGCGTGCCGATGCAACTACTCCCAGCTAATCCATGCTAGACCTGCTTAGCCTACATAGAACTAGTGATTGTGGATGTACGCTGTGATGTTCGCGAGCGTGTGTTCGATTTTAGAGAAATGCGCCTCGTGCTGCCGCTCGCCATTCTCGTAGCCCAGCCATGAGTCCAGGAACGCAGCCGCTGCGGTCGATAGCAGCAACGCCCGGACGCAGACCGTCTGCAGGAACTCTTTGTTCATAACGACGCCTGTGCAGATCTGGATGCCCCAACCGCTCCCTCCATTTGCCCGCTCCAGCATGGCCTCAACCGCTGACACCTGAGCATGGAGCTCAGGTGCCTTGGATCGCACCTCTCCGAGGCCGTCGTTGAGACTGGCAAGGGCTGCCGATAAACGCAGCGGCCCAATTGCGATGAGGAGTATTTCAGCAAGAAGCGCTGCTCCTCGTTGGACAGCTCGGAGGTAAGTATCAACCTCAGCGCCTGCCTGGATGTGGAATGTCTTACGGCACGTTGAATCCGCCACCGCGCCTCTAGCGCGTAGTGGGCCGTTCCGCCCGAGAGTTCAAGGAATTGGGGAGTCTCTTGCTCAGAAGCGCTCCCCCGCGCCCACCTGGGGCGCCCAGAAATCCTCGTACGGCTGTTTGCCGCGCTGCAAGACAAGTAGGCCTTCCCCCTAGGCTCACCCTAGGCTCACCCCTAGGCCTACCCCCTAGGCCTGCCCTAGGCCTTCCTACAAGCCTTTCCCTTAGGTCTACCGTAGGCCTACCCCCTAGGCCTTCCCCCTAGGCCTTCCCCTTAGGCCTACCCTAGGCCTGCCCCTAGGCCTACCCCCTAGGCCTACCGTAGGCCTACCCCAAGCCTTTCCCTTAGGCCTACCGTAGGCCTACCCTAGGCCTTCCACCTAGGCCTACCCTAAGCCTACCCCTAGGCCAACCCCCTAGGCCTACCCCCTAGGCCTACCCCCTGGGCCTACCCTAGGCCTACCCTAAGCCTACCCTAAGCCTACCCCTAGGCCTACCGTAGGCCTACCCCAAGCCTTTCCCTTAGGCCTACCGTAGGCCTACCCTAGGCCTTCCACCTAGGCCTACCCTAAGCCTACCCCTAGGCCAACCCCCTAGGCCTACCCCCTAGGCCTACCCCCTGGGCCTACCCTAGGCCTACCCTAAGCCTACCCTAAGCCTACCCCTAGGCCTACCGTAGGCCTACCCCAAGCCTTTCCCTTAGGCCTACCGTAGGCCTACCCTAGGCCTTCCACCTAGGCCTACCCTAAGCCTACCCCTAGGCCAACCCCCTAGGCCTACCCCCTAGGCCTACCCCCTGGGCCTACCCTAGGCCTACCCCAGGCCTACTCTAGGCCTACCCCCTAGGCCTACCCCCTAGGGCAACCGTAGGCTTACCCTTAAGCCTACCCCCTAGGACTTCCCCCTGGGTCTACCCTATGCCTAGACCTAGGCCTTCCTCCCTGGGCTAGGGTAGGCCTACCTGTAGCCCTTCCCTCAATGTTTACCCTAAGCCCATGCTTAGGCCTTCCCTAGGTCTACCCTAGGCCCTTGGGTAGTGCCTACCCTAGGTCTACCCTAGGGCGTTGGGTAGGGCCTACCCTAGGCTACCCTACGGCCTTGGGTGGGGCCTAGGGTAGGCGACCTGGGTTGTATACCCGGAGGAGGAGGAGGAGGGCGGGGCATCTTGGGAGCCTCTGGGAGCACTCTTGGGGCCTCCTGGGAGCTTCCTGGGAGCCTCTTGGAGGTATTTTGGGAGCCTCCTCGGGCCTCTTGGAGGCCTTTGGGGGCTTCTCGGGGGCCTCTTTGGCTGTCTCAGGGCACTCCTGGCCCGTCCGACGCCGTCGGAAGCCTTCCTGGAGGCCCTCTTGGAGGCCTCTTGGGCCTTCTTGGATGCTTCTTGGAGGCCTCTTTTTGGGCTGCCTTGGGGCATCTTTGAGCCATCTTGGGCCATCTTGGTGGTCTCCTGGCCCGTCAGAGCCCGTCGGAAGCTATCTTGGGGGCATCTCTGGGCTAACTGGGGGCCCTCTTGGAGGCCATCTTGGGCGTCTTGGGGGCCTCTTGGGGCGGTCTTGGGGGCCTCTTGGGCCGTTCTGGAGCCATTTTGGAGGTCCCTTGGGCGATGTTGGTGCGATCTTTGGGGGCTCTTGGGCCGTCTCGGGCCATCGGAAGGCTGGAAAGAAACACATGTTAAAATCCTTCAAACACACAGGGAGCATCAATGACTTTGGTCTCTTGGGGCCTTCCTGGAGGCCCTCTTGGAGGCCTCTTGGGCCGTCTTGGAGGCCTCTTGGGGGCCTTTTGGGCCGTCTTGGGCCATCTTTGAGCCATCTTGGGCCGTCTTAGTGGGCTCCTGGCTCGTCAGAGGCCGTCGGAAGCTGTATTGGGGGCCTCTCTGGGCCGACTGGGAGTCCTCTTGGGGTGCTCCAGGGCCGTTTGGGCGGCTAGCTTGGGCGTCTTGGAGGCGTCTTGGGCCGTCTTGTCGCCCTCCTAGGGCGGTCTTCGGGGCCTCTTAGGCCGTTCTGGGGCCATCTTGGAGGCCCCTTGGGCGATCTTAGGGCGATCTTTGGGGGCTCTTGGGCCGTCTCGGGCCGTTGGAAGGCCGAAGAGAAGCAAATGCCGAAATTTCTCACGCTTTGGCGGTCTCTTGGGCCATCTTGGAGCAATATTGGGCCTTCTTGAGCCTTCTGGGAGGCTTCTTGGACGAACTTGGAGAAATCTTGGACTCTCTTGAGCCGTCTTGGAGGCCATCTTGGACCATATTGGCCGAACTTGGAGGCCATCCTGGCCGTCTTGGAGGCTATCTTGAGCCGTCTTGGAGAGTTTGTTGCGAACGTTGTGCTCGTTTGCGCTCGATTGTGCGCTCTTCCGGGGGTGGTCGGTGGCCTGGGCCGGAGCCCCAGAGGAGAGTTCTTCTGGAAAGAACCAAAACCAAAACCGAAAGGATCCAGCACGCCAGGCACCCCTGTGAAAAGCATAGGGGGCGGCGGATTCAGTGGCCTTCGGCCCATCCCGCCTCCACGACTGTGCCGCAGGTGCAGGGTGCGGCGGGGGCGTTGTTGCCGCTTCTTTGGGCCCGGGCCTTCTGGGCGCATTTGGGGCGCACGTTTCACATTTTTCCGCCATAACAGGAATAAGCACACCGCCTACAAAAACGATGTGCACTTATCTTGTATGTATGTTAGGCCTCATTCGAGTGAGAACCGTTCGCCTGCAGACCAGCAGTTCCTTTTCACGTGTCCACGGTGGCCGCGTCGTGCGTTCATGCGCGCTGGGGTTCAAACATAGGGGCTGGGGCAGAGGGAGATAGCGAGTGGCGCCTGTAGGGGTAGAAAGAAACCGGAGAGAACATCAGAGCGACCAGACCGTCTACAACAATGGCTACACATGGCTACAAGCATGATCTGGTGGCTACATTATTTGTGTAGCCTCCTGGGGGCTCCAAGGGTGTGGCAGCTGTACATTTTAGTGACCTGGGTCGGGGCTACAAGCCCGCGGCGGCTACAAAACAAATGGGGCGGCTACCAAACAATGCCCCATCAGTTGTGGGGTACTCTGTCGGCCTTTCGGGCCCCCCGCCGTGGATGTTTGCAGACCGTGGGTTTTCGGCGCGTGGCCCCCCCTAGCCCGCCCGCGCGGTCATGGTGCGTGATTGCACTCTGGCGACGGGCACGAGGTTTCTGTTTATCGGGTAGTCCAACTTTGTTTTGGATGTGTTGTTTTTGTCGACCTTTCTGTTGGTGGTATGAAGGAGCTCGGTTCACTACTAGGGGGTAGGCCTACGGTAGGACTAGTGAAAAAGGCCTAGGGGTAGGCCTAAGGCAAGCCTAGCGGATAAGCCTAGGGGAAAGCCCAAGGTAAACCTAAGGGGTAGGACGACGGGTAAGCCTAGGAAAGCAAGCCCTAGGGGGTAGGGCTAAGGGAAGCCTAGGGGAGACCTAGATTAGGCCTAAGGGGAAGGCCCAAGGGTAAGGCACCCTAACGTGCGGGTCGGGCCAGGCGGGCGGGACATCAAAGCATCATGCATCATCGAATGGACACGCGAGAACCCTAATGGGTCGGGTCGAGACGGGGCGGGTCGGGTGGACCCTAACGGGGCGGGTCGGGTCGGGCCGGGCGAGCGCTGCTGGGCGGGTCGGGTCGCGCGGGCGGGGCATAAAAGTATCATGCGACATCGAGTGGACACGCGAGAACCCTAACGGGTCGGGTCGCGTTGGGTCGGGCGGACGCTAATGGGCGGGTCGGGTCGGGCGGGCGGGACATTAAAGTATGAAGCATCATCGAATGGATACGCGAGAACCCTATTGGCTCGGGTCGGGACGGGTCGGATCGGGCGAAGCGAGACCGTTCGCCCGGAAGCCCGTTCGCCCGGAAGCCCGTTCGCCCAGAAGCTCGGTCGCCCGAAAACCCGGAGGCCCGTTCGCCCGGAGGCCAGTTCGCCCAGAAGCCCGTTCGCCCGGAAGCCCATTCGCCTGGAACCCCGCTGGCCTGGAGCATGTTCGCCCGGAGGCCCGTTCGCCCAGAGCCCGTTCGCCCAAAGCACGTTCGCCCGGAGCCCGTTCGCCCGGAGCCTCCTCCGCCGCTGCCGCCGGCGACGCCGGCGCGGAGACTACGGACCCAGCTCCTCCCCCTGCTCCTCTGGCTCGTCCCCCCCTCCTTCTCCCTCCACCTCCCCCTCTTCCTCCGCCTCCTCCTCCTCCTCCTCCTCCTCCTCCTCCTCCTCCCTCGCCCTCTTCCTGTGTCCCCCTTCCCCCCCTCCCTCTCCTCCGCTCCGTAACCATTTTGGCTCAAGATGCCTTGTTCCACAGGGGAACACGTGGATACCGCTAGTCCGCGGCCAGTGCCAGGGCTTCCCAGCCCGACAGTTTTGTTACACGCACCCAGTGCCTCCTGCTGCCCGCAGGTGAGCATCCTCGGTTCCTCTTGCGAAGCATGGGGAAGAGTCAGCAGGAGGCGCGTCGTGCTGCCGAGGGATACGCCAAGTGCCAGTCGTGCAGCCACGCTTGGAACTTCAAGCGCAATTCGCCCGCACGCGCTCGACCTCCATAGCTCCCGTTCCCTACGTTGGTTCCGCAGTTCCCCCGCGCGCTTCCCGCCCGCCCTCGCCACCCCGGATAGGGCTTGGTCGGCGGGGGCGCGGGGCGGCGGAAGCGCCCGCCGCGATCGACGCGGGGCGGCGGGGACGGGCCAATGCGGCGGCGGCCCCAAGCGCGGTCAGGCCGCCCCACAGGCACCAGCCGACGGGGGCGCCCCTCAGCCTGCCAGCCCTGGGCAAGCCGACCGCCGTCAAGCCTTTCCTGGTGCTCCGTGGGCGTCGCAGGTCGGCGGCAGTGACGAGCTCGCGCGCCTCCTGGCATGTCCCGACGTTGGCATCCGTGGCGAGCTCGAGCGCGTCCTCAAGGCAGCGAGGGAGTACAAGCCCGCGGCCCCGCCTCAGGCCGAGCGCACCCTGGCGCAGAAGTTGCAGTCAGCTGCGGACCGAAAGCTGCATTGGCGGAAGATCCTCGACGAGGCTGCCAACGCGCACAC